TTGATATTTTGGGTAAAACAATACAAACACAACAAAACTGTAGATTGTCAAAGTCACAAATGGCATGGAAAAAGCATCAATTTATGATCTGCTCTATATATTCAAAGCATTTGGTTTACCAACATGGGGACATAGAGATGATAAAATGTGATCCTGGAGCAGAAATGTTTTGATATTCAAAGGAAATTGAAGCAATTCTTTACAATAAACTACTGCCTAAAACAAAAATTAGGAAGGTAAGGACCCCAAACCTACCTACCTCATAGTTCTGCATAAAGTTAGTCGGGCTTGCGCCCCTTGTAAATATCTCGCATATTGGGTTTGGCATTTGCACCCTAGATAGCAGAGCTATTGTGAGATTTTATACTCTTCCTATAAAAATAAAATGTAGAATAGGTTAGAGGTTTTTTTCCCCATGTTTTGATGATTGGCAAAAGTCTTTTTCACAAGGGTAACTTTCCCTAAGTAAAGTAATCAAGGCACATGATTTGCTAATTGATGCACAGGGAAGTGCTTTAATGAATTATTGAAGTACTTGGCTCAGGTATTGTCTCCCAGGGACAGAATACAGAATTACTGCTTAGCAATTAGACCGTCAATGTTCCTTACTCAGTTGACCATAATTAAAATAATTTTATTCTTGGTTTGATATTGGGAATTAAAACTCACACCTCAGTTACCTGGTAAAAGGGTTTCAAGGCTAATGGCATGAGACATGAGGATTTTAAAATGCCAACCTGTGTTATTCCTCTGAATACAGAATTCCTCAATCATTCATGTCTGATTAAAATTGTATTTGACTAATTGATAATGACTTTTCAATTAGGTAAAAGCATATTTTATTTAGAAATTACATTTATTTACATTGATTTTTCTCCTCTTCAGGATGTCTGGGCTTCTGTATCCAATTTGATCTAACTGCCACAACTCATAGGAAACCTTTGCAAGGGTAACCGACAGTCATTGCCCAAACACAGGCTGATATAATCGGGCTTTGGAGAAGGCACAGCATAAAGTCATAGTTTTATTTTTGAAGAATACTTAGGAGACTTCCCCAGTCCCCATAAGGTTATCCACTGAGGAGTTTATGAAAACTGACATCTTGTGAGATCATGCTCTTCTCTGGTTGTGGTAGTCACAGGAATTTCTCCAGGTGAGGGAAAATTTATCAAAGCAAAATTCATTCCAACAAGTTCTCTTTTCTGTACATCACTGCAAAAGTACTGAAGGGGTGTGCTGAATGAAGTGGGGCAGCCTTCCACTGTCTACCTGGTAACCAGGAACTGGAGTAGAGATCCTCTCCTGTCCTTTTGGGGGCTGGAGGAGGGAGACACTTGTTTCTGTTCTTGGCACTGCTGGGGTGCGGGGAGAGGTGACCCCATTATCCCTGAGGGAATAGTGGCCCCAACTATCAAGGCCTCACTCTAGGTAGAGTTGACTCATCATTAGCCTACCTGAGTTCTGGGGGAGTTACCAGAGCATAGCTGGCCCTTTGAGATCCTAGGTTTTCCCAATGAATGAGGTTATTTCTGAAGTCATTTATTCATGGAGAGAAGTCTATGCAAGGAAGTCATGATCACTTCTGTCTACCTTACCTTGAACTTATTTCTTACTCTCATTCCTTCCATTTCTAGAGCCACAGACATAATTTTGTCTCTCATTACACTGTATTCACCTCTTGACCAATCTAAGTACATTTAGTTTCTTTCGACTCCAACTATCCTGGACTCTGTGCCTTGTCACCAGAGTTATTTTCCTAAAAACACAGATAAGATAGTACAGTCTGCTGCTCAAAAACCTCCTGTGGGTTTTATTTAAAGAATCAAATCTGAAGTTTTAAGATTAGATTTAATTATACCATATGTGGACTCCACACTATGATTTTGGTTTTGACACCGACAACAGCTCCCTGTGGCGATAACCCTCGGATCTAACAGGGTCATTCTTCTTTCCCTGGACCTGTCTCCATGGCTCTACTCATGATATTGCCTATAGCTGGAATGCCTTCATCTTCCTCCTCTACCTTCTCAGGATTCCTTAGTCCTCCAAGGTCCAAATCAAGCGGCAACAAACCCCAGCTTGAGTTTTCTAGCACCAGGTTATGTGAAGTAATTGTCATCACATTATTATTTTGTGAGTAATCAATCCTCCCACATGTTCACTCTGCTATAAATTCCTTTACCAAGAGAAAAGCCATTCATTACATAATTAAAGATGAAATGCAGCACAGACAATTTATCGATCAGTGTGAACTTTGTATGAACAATCAGGAAACCACTTTATGACTGCTTTCAAGCACTTTTTGACAGGTCATCTTCCCTGTCTTTCTGTCACATCTTGAACAGGTCCCAGATCTTTGGCTATAGATGAATTCAGGCAGAAGAGCAGTTTCTTCTTCAGGTGCAAAAAAATACTTATTCAATCAGAAATATAAGCTTTAAGTTTTCATTCATTTTAAAGCTTCTTCCTTCTTTATCCTCAACATAGGTCTCACTGGTGGTTCTGGAACAAGCCGTGAAGAAGATAGAGAGCACTGTCTTAGCATTCTCCCCGTTTCACCTTCTCTCTTCACTTTGCTTCTGGCTTTTCCAGGGTTGGACAAGGAAGGATCAGAGGAAAAGGACCAATGGCCCCGGCCAGCTGGTACATAGTTGGTACTGTTTGTAGGTCTCCCTCGTTTGTTGGGTTCCTTCTGTCGTGGTAGATGCCCAAACACTGGCCCCCTTCCAGATGCATGTGTGTGCGCATGTGTGTGTGCGTGTGTGTGTGTGTGCGCGCATGTAGGGGGTGTTACCCACTAGGACGAGGGTTGCTCTACTGATACCAGACTGATCTCTTGGGACCACCTCCCTTAACTCCTGTGTTGGAAGTGCAACCCATGTCTTTCTCTCCTTGGCAGGCAGTTTTCTTGGATAGAGTACCTCAAAGAAATTGCAAGCCTGGTTCTTTACCCACTCGACCCATGTGAAATCTTCCGATCCTCGCCCTGACAAATGGCAAAAGTAGCTAAAGCACAGGCTTGTCCAATCTTATCCTGGTGTCACAGGCAGCTCCACCTGCACACCAGCCATCGGACAGCTCCACACAAGACCAGACACCAGCCGGTCTTTACCTGTGCTTCCGTGCTCCGGGGCCAGGTGACACTCTTCTGGAAACACTTACATTCTCCAATCCAGAGGTAACCTGGAGTGGGCAGATGCTTTTCTAGAACCCAGCAGGATCTAAGAGAGGGTAATACCTCTCCTCAATGCCTTGAAGGGGTTCCCTGGGGGACCTTTTCTCTTAAATTGGGGGCTGGAGAAGCAGACTCCTCCCTCTCTCATAGATATTTAGCATCTCTCTGTGGCAAGAACACGTTTTTGTTATCCACTGATAAGTAAACAAAGCCTCCAGTTTGGAGGCTTTAACTATAATTCCACGATATCACAAAAGTCCTTTTAAAATGTTCTGTTACTGCTAAATGGGATGAGTATTAGAACTCTTCCTCCGGGGAGAGAATGATCACCTACAGTCACATGAATTCTAAATGACGGTACCTGGTCAACTCGGTCCTTCTTTACTAATCTTGCTGGGGCTCAAGTGTGAGGGAATGAGGAGCCTGCAAAGGCCAGGGGATGAGAGCCAGGAGGAAGGGGGCTGCCTAAAAACGATTCTCAGGTCACGAGGGCAGATTTCATTGACTCCAGTGTCCTGAGCCAATTGTGTCTGGAACAGAAATGAGGGACAAAAAAAGATGCCTTCTCTGGTTTCTCTTCAACTTAAGGGCACTCTGGTACCTACGGACAGCAGTATCTTCGGAAAGACAAATGGTTGTAATTTCTCCCTTAAATTACGGTTTTCTTACAAACTATAAACCTAAGATTTCCAGAATATGGAGAAGAGAAAATATTGGGCATTTTAATTAAAAAAAATTGACCTATTGATGAGGCTATTGTACACAATATCCAGTTTGGAGTCTGATTATCCAGGCATAACGAACATTTGTTATTGTGTCAGTCCAGTCCAGAAGAACACCCCTGGCCTAGTGGGTAGCACCGCAACACACACACACACACACACACACACACACACACACACACACACACAC